TACATATTAGTATACTCTTACATTGCATTTTTAGTATTTTTTCTCAAAAATGTGATATTTTCCCGCGGTAAAAAGTATCCTATATGTTGACCCGGATAACCAGCTATCACCATATCAAATTTCATCAAAATTCCTCCGGTGGTTTTTCTGTGATGCGGTAACAGACAGACAGATAAAAATTCTAAAAACTATAGATTTGGCCTCTGTATCGATAATAATGTCTATTTCAATAAGATTTTCCAAAAAATATTTAATGTACAGATTCGGCTTAGTTAAAATTTTATTATACGTATAGATTTAAAGATTCCAATTAAATGTTATATTTAGAATATTATCTTACATATATGATTAAACCTGTATCATATAAGCAACGACCTACTTTTTTCTCTGAATATACATATATATATGTATATATGTATATATATATACAATATTAATCAAGAGTGCGAGATACAGTGTAGAGAGTAACCACGTGGTTAACGCATGACGCGGTTACGAATCACAGAATATTTTTTCTAAAGAAAATGCAAACTTTACTGTATTTATTATAATGCGTTTATTTAAGTTTACTTAAGAGTAATTACTGCTACATTTCTTACATTAATTTATTCTTCTTTTCACTAAGATGTATATATACTACTAGCGGCTCACCTTCGCTTCGCACGGGTTCGCCTCAAAAAAAACAAAAACAAATCTATACCTCGGGTACCGTATGCTTTTCCGGGATAAAAGGCCTATGTATATGTAGCCGCCTATGTGTTATCCGGACTATAATCTATCTCTGTGCCAAATTTCATCCAGATCCGTCCAGCCGTTTTGGCGTGAAAGAGTAACAAACATCCACACGTACTATACAGCTTATTAAAATCTAGTAACTTACGGTCCTAACAGTTTGCAACAAATTTATATACCATGAATTGAATACAACCGGGGCGGGGCTATAGGCAAAATATAGTGTAAAATATAAAGAGAATAAAATAGTGAACTTTATAAACTAGCTGGTTTAGGCAAAACGCTGAAACATTCTCGTTAAATACTCGTAGTCGCTTTGCTAAATCAACTAAAAATCAACAGTTCCAAAGCATGTGCCCGTTTAATTGTCCATTCGAACAACGTTCGATGTTTATCGAACTTTTATTGTAGGTAACTTACTTAATAACTAATCATACTCTATTTACAGTTATATTTAATTATACCTACTTATATAAAATAAATGTATAATTATACAATAGATATACTTCGCTTTAACCTGCCAAATTGCCACAAGCTTTAAATTTTTATGTCAAAGGAAGGGAAATATGGTCCATATTTTGTGATAGTGGATTTAATAGAAATACACACTAGATTATTTCTTATATACTTGAAATTTTAACAGTTTACCTTTCCTGGGGCTTACAAGACTGTAGGTATACTTATTTTTAAAGCGCTATTTTGAAAATGAACCCCTAAGAGAGCTTAATATGTATCTTAATTTATGTGAAAGATAAAGTTCTCGTGCAAAAGTTTAATTGAAATTGAATAAATTTGAACAATTATATATCAAATTAAAATTCTTTCTATTAGCGAGAAAATGGGGTTAGAAATTTTTAAAAGGAACAATATGCTTCGGAAATATTTAAAATATATGAAAGACAAGATGGCGAGACCAGAGCAGGACACTAACTAGTATCACTATTGTCATATTTTAATTCATCATATCATTAAGTCTAATGTGATAGCCACTCTAGCTGAATGGCTGCATGGGGCAAGTTCTGACTATGATGATGATGAACCACAACTCAAAGTGAACTATGATGCAATAGGGGGTTAGGATTTTTTCGTTCTTATTGTCCTCTCTCAGAGAAAGTTGATATACCTACGAAACGTTATTATTATTCAAGAAAAGTGATATAAAGACATATAAAACGTATCCGTATTAAGATTTCAAGACCCTGGTTGCAGTAAAATATCCTAAGAAAACTATACGTCTTGGAAAAACTACGACATAATATATTCAGCATATAAACCGAAGTGGTGAACCGTAGCAAGGTTTTACAGCAAGCTTTTTCAGAACTTTACAGTATAATCTTAAAGAATCTCGTATCTTTAAAGTCTTACTTCAGAAAGATATTACAATTTTTTAAAAAGTGAGATGGATAAAGTCTATGAAAAATTGTCGAGATTCTCTTTTATATAATCCTCTTTTTATGAAAGAATTGCAAATTATAAAATCATAGAGGCTAATTCTGGCACACAAAACAACTCATATATTTCAATTTAATAGCTACAAAAATTATCTTGGCAAATATATATATATATAAGACGGAGGAGGATTTAGTTACCTTTTTCTGTTATGAAACCTTATTATTGTTTAAAGTCACTATGTTCTTTAATTTACTTTTTATAGCTTTTAAATGGATTTTGAATTTAGAGCAGAGATTTAGTCTCGAGCGGGGTCGAGACGCCATCACGACATTCTTTGGAGATACGTGGCTTAGTAACGTTGGTTGATCATGGTATAGAGAGTTTTGCTTTGATATTGTAGTTGGAAGTCGATGATCGGTGACTGTGAACCCGCTAGCTCTAAATCATTAGAATTACCGTTTCAAGTTTATAACATTGTGACTTCCCTGATTAAATCGTGTATTGAGCACTGAATACTTTATTATTTGAGCCCTGATAACGCCCACAAGATGAGTAACCACCTAAGATGATGTTCGTAGTATATGGATAACACGACATCAGAAGTGGTATGATACCCGAAGAACAGGGCAAAGATAAATGACAGCGGCCATTTGAAAATTTTTTTTTCAGACTTTGAAGCGAAATACGATGTTAAATGTTAAAAAAGACGCACAAAATGGCGATGCATATGCGGGTTGTTTTTCAGAAGATTTACTTTTACTTTGATAATCATGAATCATGATATATGATATGCAAGATGCTCAAAAGATTAAAATAATCATAGATGTCTGAATTTAATTTTTATGAAATGACATGACGTCGTCAAAAATTTGTTGCTAGCTGGATTTGATTTTCTTGATATTATCGCAGAAATATTTTTGAACACGATATGTATGGAAAAATTAAATGGACAATTTGTTTATTTCAGGATGATATATGAAGTTAATTTATTTAATCGATAAATTACGAGAATTATTTTTGAAATGTTTTTGTTCGATGCTTATAAGCCTTTTACCTTCTTCTAGTTATGAAATAAAATATAAATCGTGTCAGAATTTTAGTGTCAAAAATGTTTTGTATTGTAATTGTTTGCTTTATATTTTCTTTATTTCAGGATTTCTAAAGTGAAAATAATGAGTTGATATTTTTGTTTAAAGATTTGACTAACAGATTTAACTATTTATCGACGGAAAATAAACGCACGATATTTGCGAATTATATTTGGAAAATTACATAGTTCCTTTAACTTGCGTATCCATTTCGGTTATAAAATTTTTATTTAGCAGTTGATACTAATTAAAAAATTTTCTAGCAGTCCATCAGGTAAAAGATGTTCCAAAAGAAATATGAGAAATAGTTGACTGTATTAATGGTCATACAGCGAAAAACTAATGTTTGTGTACACTCCGAAGACATACTCATACGCAGGCTGAGATATAAATCTTTGATTATAATACCGATTTCACATGTCTTTATTTGGTCCAAAGATTAAACATAATTAAATCGGGCCGATGGTAATAACAACTGTGGCACAATATTCAATAATATGAATTTTCAGGTGCTTCATTTCAAGTGTTCAAAATATGTATTTAGCGTAAAGAGGACGCCTTGCTTTAGCCAGTTTAGTTTACACTAAACCAGATCACATCAGACGTATACGATGCCCTAGAAGAAGACGGTATCCAGAGATGCTTTGGCTGTGCAAAAAATGGATATCTGTGGACTGTTTCATTTAATCTTTATGAATGTTATATGGTGAGACGTTTCCATTATGTTTAGATATGTGAGGCAAGTGATCTCAGAATGCACCGTTATAAACGGTTCTAATTATTGTAGTTATTTCCAATAATATCTAGCAGCTTAACATTAATGAACCTACATAGCACAAGCTAGGGTGACTGAATTGACGAGCTTATGTAACATTGACAAGCCTGTGTGGCAAATGTAGTTTTAGTGGCGAGAGTCGCCGGAGTAGTGGCCTGTGAGGCACCGACTAGCCTGAGTGTCGAGAGTTGCCTGTGTGGCAAAAGTAACCTTGTGGCACATGTAGCCAGAATGGCGAGAGTTGTCTGTGTGGCATTGGAAGGGTTCCGTCGCATCGTTTGATTTGTGTGGCACCGACTTAACTTGATTAACATATGAGACACTTACTTCTGTAACTTGTACTCAATGATAAATAAGTTGCGTGTATAGTCTTTAGGGTTTCAGTCAGTTTAAAAATTAAGTTTCGAGAAATTTGTCTCAAAGAAAACTAGTTAGGAAGAATGAATGAAGTATGATGTGAATCGCTCTTTATTGTTAACATATAAAGCTAAACATTTACCCAATACTCATTGTGTTAGGTACATTGGAATTTGAGGGTGTCTGTTTGTACTAAGTACACTTTTGCAATATAATATCTACTGCACCGATTATTATATCAGTGAGATTGGCCACCGTGGTCATATTTGGTCAGGATTGGCCGAACAATGTGTCTATGTGAAAATGTCATTAATATTTTAATTATCTGTGTCAATAATTGTCACTACACCGGAGTAACCGGATACACCAGAGAGAGAAATAAACCTCTAAGTTGAGTACACGCATCTTTAATTTAAAACCATTTAAACTTCATATTCAAAATTAAACCTTATTCATATGTACATAAACATTTGGTCCTATCGAGCGGACGACGTGCGACGAGCGTACGTCGAGATTTCAAGAACAAAGGAAATACATTCCACGTGCAATAATTGTGTGTAAAAACGAGTCGTTCAGTTTTAAAAGTAATTACAAAGTTATTACGAAGTAACATTCAGTGTTTAGTGTTAGTAGTGAATAATTTTGGTATAAATACAATGGAAAAATATATAGCATATCAAATGGAGTTATTTGATAACCTTAAAAATAGCGAAAAAAATCTAAAAAAGACACCAAAGGAAAGAATTAAAAAGCAATATTTAGAAACTAGATTGGAGCAATTGGAAACATTATGGATCGAATTTAAAGAGGGACATAAAAATATTGTTTTAAAAATATCGAAAGACGAAGATAGAAAAAATCCATATTTTAAAAATGAAGTCTTTGAAGCTTTTGAGGAGATGTTTATCAATAATAAATCAATGTTAAAGGAAATGCTATTGCCTTTTCTAGAATCTTCGAAATCTCAAACTACCGGCGTTTCCGATATTACCGATTCGAATAAAAACAGTGAAATAAAGTTACCGATTATTAAAATTCCAACCTTTACCGGTAAATACGAAGAGTGGCAAACATTTTACGATTTATTCTATTCTCTCATCCATAACAATGAAGCTTTGTCACCGGTGCAAAAACTCCATTATTTAAAAAGTAATTTATCGGGTGAACCTGAAACGTTGTTACGTAATTTTTCCATAACTGACGCTAACTATGAAGAAGCGTGGTGCCAACTTGTGAAGAGATATAATAACAAGAGGTTTAACTGCAACGCCATTTTGCGTATTTTGTTTACACAAAAGATGATAACTGCGGAGTCTGCGAGTCACATAAAGCAACTTCTAGACACAACTGTTACCTGTATAAAAGCGCTAACGAATATGGGTATAGATACAAGTTCGTGGGATATAATTATCAACTATTTAGTTATTTCAAAACTGGATTCTGAGTCGATGCGGCAGTGGGAACAACATGTAAGTGTCAAATCTGAGTTACCTACATGGTCCGAGTTACAACTTTATTTAGAGTCTAGATTTAGATCCTTGGAAATGATGGAGTGTAATAATAGTAAAAATAAATCTTTGTTAGCTAAATCCATTCCGAAAACGAAATCGTTTCATACAAATTTTAATAACCAAGTAAAAAACAATGAAATTAAAATTAACAAAATTAAATGTATTTTATGTAATAGTGACCATTATATTTACAATTGCAAAATGTTTTCAAATATGTCAGTGCAAGACAGACAAAATTTAATTAAAAAATTTAGATTGTGTTTTAACTGTCTTGCTCCTTCCCACTCTGTGATAAATTGTCGTCAATCTTCAGGTTGTAAAAGGTGCGGACGCCGTCATCATTCATTAATTCACATTGATCACGAGCCTAAAAATGATAAACCAGTTGAGACGGCTTCTACATCTTCAGGTATAGAGAACATGTCTAGAGGTAAGCCTAATATTTTGTCAAATGAAAACAATATAATAACAAATTTTTGTGAACATATAGAATCAAATAATACCTTGTTAGCTACAGTCCAGGTTTTAGTAGAAAATAAGAATGGGTGTAATCATGTTGTTAGGGCTTTGTTAGACCAAGGTTCGCAGGCATCGTTTGTAACAGAAGCAACAGTTCAGTTACTTAAACTTTCACGTAGGTCAGTAAGTGGTTGGGTGTCAGGTGTGGGAGAAGGGCAAACGAGTATTAAATACATGGTTTCTTTATGGGTGAAATCACGCCACAATCCCGAGTCTAGAGTTTGTGTAAATGCATATGTATTGCGTTCATTAACAACACTGCTACCTACCACTAAGCTACATACACCTGAGTGGTCAGACATAGAAAAATTAGAGTTGGCTGACCCAGGATATACAACACCAGGAAGAATAGATATTCTTCTTGGAGCCGAGGTTTACAGTGATGTACTATTAAATGGTATCATGAAACATCCTACAATTAATTTACTTGCACGAAATACTATTTTTGGATGGGTGTTATCTGGTAGGATTTGTAATCAACACAGCTCGGCAAGGAATACGGTATCAAGCTTGCATATACAACTTAAGGATGATGATATTCTTAAGCTTTTCTGGGAGCAAGAAAATGAACCGAACACAATTAAAAGAAGATTGTCAAAGGAAGAAGAAAGATGTGAGGAAATCTTTGATGCTACAACTACGCGGGATAAGGAAGGAAGATTTATAGTAAAGCTACCGTTTAAGACCGAGCACCCTAGCTGTCAAAATGGAAAACTATATGAAATAGCTGCTAGAAGATTTATGAGCCTAGAAAAGAAGTTACAAAGTAATCAAGATTTTCAAAAGGAATACACAAAGGTAATGCAAGAGTACCTAGATTTAAAACACATGGTCGAAGTTGATTCACAATGCATTGACAATCAAAACACTGTCTACCTACCACACCACGGTGTGATTAGAGAAGACAAAACAACAACGAAGCTGCGAATTGTTTTCGACGCTTCGTGCAAGGGAGTTAATGGGTTCTCTTTAAACGATGATCTGCTGGTGGGCCCAAAGCTCCAGCAGGACCTACGACATATTTTGATGAGATGGAGGACTCATAAGATCTGTTTAACCGCAGATATAATAAAAATGTACAGGATGGTACGTGTGGCAGAAGAAGACACCGATTTTCAGAGACTACTTTGGAGATCCACACCCGATGAGCAATTAAGTCATTACAAGCTGTTAAGATTGACCTTCGGGACTGCATGCGCTCCATATCTTGCTGTGAAGTCACTACAAAGATTAGCAGATGATGAAGAATTTAAATATCCAGAAGCTGCAAAAATAACCAAAAATGATTTCTACATGGATGACCTTTTAACAGGATGTGAAACAGAAGATGAGGCCATCAAGATTTACAATGATATGAACAAACTATTGAACTCGGGAGGATTTGAGCTCCAAAAGTGGAGCAGTAATAATGAAAATGTACTTAAATACATTGGAGAAAATAAGCGAGATGACCATGAACTTCCTCTTAAGATCAATAGTCTGGTGAAGGTGTTAGGAGTAATTTGGAATCGTGATACAGACAATTTTGAGTATACTTTAAATCTAGACGAAGCTAAACAACCTATAACAAAGCGACAAGTTCTTTCTAATATAGCAAAACTCTACGATCCTTTAGGTTGGTTAGCCCCAGTTGTTGTGATAGCAAAGATGATCATGCAGAAGCTATGGAAATCAGGCCTAGAATGGGATGATACTGTGCAAGGAAGTTTATTAGCTGAGTGGGTAAATTTTAGAGAAAATTTGATACATATAAAAAAGATTACTATACCTAGATCATTACACTACTCTAAAATGTCTTCCGTAGAATTACATGTGTTTGCAGATGCATCTCTACTAGCATATGGAGCAGTTGTCTATGTTCGTGTGGTCAAGGATGAAAAGGTCTACGTAAATTTAATAACAGCTAAGACAAAAGTGGCTCCAATTGAAAAACAACTTTCCATACCTAGGCTGGAACTCTGTGCAGCGGCTCTGGCAGCTAAACTAATTTTTGAGACGGCTCAAGTAATGAATATACCTAAAGTTAACTTACATGCATGGTCTGATTCCACAATTGTGTTGGCATGGCTGAAAGGAGGGCCAAGTAGATGGAATACCTTTGTAAGCAACAGAGTTTCTGACATATTAAATATCTTAGATTATGAACAGTGGGGTCATGTTACAACGGAACTTAACCCAGCCGACTGTGCCTCAAGAGGTTTACAAGCTTCAGAACTGGTGAATCATACAATGTGGTGGAGAGGCCCTACCTGGTTGTCTACAAGGAGTATGAAATTAAATTACGTAGAGATAGATGATACACAAGAAGAAGAGAAGGTCAAGACATTAACTGTTTTATTAGAAAGTGAACAAGATTTGATTTGGACAAAATTTTCTGATTTATCAAAAATGCTGAGAATTATGTCATACTGTAAGAGATGGTTAAATGTTATTCGAGGAAAAGATAAAAAACAAAGTCAGTCAAAATTTATTACATTAGATGAAATTAATAAAACATTAGAAAATTGTATAAAACAAGTTCAAAGTATAGAATTTAAAAATGAATTAAAACAGTTAAAGTCTCATGGATGTGTGCATAAGGGAAGTAAAATCCGTAATCTTTGTCCTATTTTTGATGAAATAGGAATATTAAGAGTTGGAGGACGAATTCAGCAATCAAAGGTGGACTATGATACACAGCATCCCATAATTTTACCTGCGAAGAGTCATCTTAGTAGACTTTTAATTATGAATGCTCACAAGAAAACTTTGCATGGCGGTCCACAGTTGATGTTGAACTATCTCAGATCAAAATATTGGATTCTACGAGCTAAAGATCAAGTAAAAAAATATTACCGTGAGTGTGTAACATGTATTAGATACTCGAAGAAAACTACTCAGCAGTTGATGGGTCAATTGCCAGAAGTACGACTGAAGCCAAGTCGACCTTTTAGTTCAGCTGGTGTGGACTACACAGGACCTATCAACATTAGATTTTCGCCTGGCAGAGGTGCTAAATCCTACAAAGGATACATATGTGTGTTTATATGTATGGTAACTCGTGCCATACATCTAGAGGCAGTAACGGATTTAACAAGTAATGGATTTATTGCAGCATTTAGGCGTTTCACAGCGAGGAGAGGACATTGTTCAAACATATACAGTGACAACGGCACTAATTTTGTAGGAGCCGATAAACAATTACGAGATATGTTTAAAAGTGCTAAATCTTCAATTCCAGGTGAGTTAGCAAAGGTGTTAACGTTAGAGCGCACTACATGGCATTTTATTCCTCCCCACGCACCAAATTTCGGTGGCTTATGGGAAGCGGGGGTTCGCAGTACAAAGGTGCATCTTAGAAGAGTCATTGGGGATACAACACTTACATACGAGGAACTAACTACGGTGCTAACACAAGTAGAAGCATGTTTAAATTCGCGTCCACTAACAATTTTGAGCGATGACCCTAATGATCCCCTACCCCTGACACCCGGTCACTTTTTAATTGGCGAACCATTACTTAATTTAGCTGATGAAAATTATAGACTATGTAAAATACCTTGTCATGAAAGATGGAGATTAACACAGAAAATGGTAACTGATTTCTGGAACAGATGGTCCAAGGAATATTTAGTATGTCTCAATCAGAGATATAAATGGACTACTAAAAACACTGAACCAGAAATCGGTGATGTTGTGATATTAAAGGAGGACAATATTCCACCTAGTAAGTGGGTATTAGGTAAAATTGTACATAAACATGTCGGTCCAGACAATATTACTCGTGTAGTGTCAATCCAGTGTAAAAATGGCATTTTTAAGAGACCTTTAAATAAAATATGTATGCTTTTGAAACAAAACAACAATGAGTAACAAAATAATTACAATTTATTATTTATTTAAAAAAAAAAATAGAGGACAAAATTTATAATTTAACTAGTAGGTACCATACATAATTTATTTAACTGGCCATTGATAATATAAATAAAACAACTTAAAATTTTCAAAATTTATTTACATCATAAATTAAATGTTTACTTTATTGTACAAACACTACATTGATGTATCATATTTACTTGTAAAATTGATTTTGATTTGTATACATTAAAATAAGTAAAGAAATATGTTAAAAGATAAAAATATGTTTGTTGTAATGTTTAAAGAATAAGTTAAAAATGTACTATAAAATAAGAATGTAAAAAAAAAAATATAAGTTTGTATACTTACCTGGGGATGTACTATGAGCTCCTATAGTGAACTGAAATTAAACTACTGTTTTTCTTACCTATTATGATATTTTAACTGACATTGTGTAACTTTGTTAATAAGAAGACTCGTAGTTTGGCCTGCATAGAATATAAACATCTATACAGTTCATGGTAAACCCTGATTGAAATTGATTTGATCTTACTTGTGTTTTGTCTTATGAAATATAATTGTATTTTGTGTTATAAAAGAACGCCGTTCTTTGGGGGGCGGCATGTCTATGTGAAAATGTCATTAATATTTTAATTATCTGTGTCAATAATTGTCACTACACCGGAGTAACCGGATACACGAGAGAGAGAAATAAACCTCTAAGTTGAGTACACGCATCTTTAATTTAAAACCATTTAAACTTCATATTCAAAATTAAACCTTATTCGTATGTACATAAACACAATGTTTTCTAAAAATTTGCTTTTTTTCTGTCTACAGATGACGTTTATGCTAGACTTTCAAGATCACACGAGGGCGTGTGAACAGCAGGATGGCCGAGACGGAGGAGGATTTAGTTACCTTTTTCTGTTATGAAACCTTATTATTGTTTAAAGTCACTATGTTCTTTAATTTACTTTTTATAGCTTTTAAATGGATTTTGAATTTAGAGCAGAGATTTAGTCTCGAGCGGGGTCGAGACGCCATCACGACATTCTTTGGAGATACGTGGCTTAGTAACGTTGGTTGATCATGGTATAGAGAGTTTTGCTTTGATATTGTAGTTGGAAGTCGATGATCGGTGACTGTGAACCCGCTAGCTCTAAATCATTAGAATTACCGTTTCAAGTTTATAACATTGTGACTTCCCTGATTAAATTGTGTATTGAGCACTGAATACTTTATTATTTGAGCCCTGGTAACGCCCACAAGATGAGTAACCACCTAAGATGATGTTCGTAGTATATGGATAACACGACATATATATAAATATATATATAAATATATATAATATATATATATATAACAGGGAAACATATAAACCCATTATTAGAATTTTTTCTTTTCACGTACGCGTAACGTAAAATGGCTGGATTAAATAGTACACTACAACCACGCCAAAAGAAACATAAATTAATTGTGTATGATGATAATATACGAGTTCCGACATCGTGTTAATATTGAAACCCAAACCACTACCTTCATCCATCCTTAGTGAGTGTAATGTTTTAAATATTTTTGAATCGGCTTACTACTTAAAAGATATAATAAATAAAATATATATTAAAAAAAAACCTTTTAATTCACTTAAATTGACTACAGAATACAATACCTTGGACTAAAGTTTTTTTTTTTAAACATGACATACAATAATCGTTACATGCAGTTGTTAGAAATAAATTAAATATAGTAATTGATAGTATAAAGTAATTTAAATATTAATAAGGATAGATCTATTGTAATAAATTATTGATTAATAATTTGTTAGAGTTTCATAATTTTTATTTTTTATTTCATTTTATTTTATTTTTTAATAACTTAAAAGATATAGTCGCTAGAAATTCTGTTAATGCAAATATTGCATCAGTAATACGAGTATATCGTCATGAGACGCATATTGTGCGATCAATATCCATAGGTCAGGCAACACTGCAGACGCACAATCAAATTACACCGAACATTATTTCATTAAGACGTCCCTACCGACTAAACGGGATCTGGGATGATGCATCCGTCTGACCAGATCCAATTACTTCGAAATTGATTACCATCCGTCTAAGCTGTGGCTTCCATCTTCACGTACTTCTAATATAGATTAAGTTTATAATAACCCATTTGTTTCATCATTTTGGAAGTATAGTAAATACTCTTCATAATTAAAATAAAACTTTTTATAACATTTTTTTCTGATTAATTTTTATTTTGCTCAGTAGTGACCCTATTCCCTGTGCCAGCGGTCGCGGGTTCGAGTCGTGCTAGGGGCATTCATTTGTGTGATAAGCACGAATGTTTGTACTCCAGTCATGGGTGGTCATATTTATAATTCCTCCACGACCGCGGACACGTCGGCGTTACAGTTAACAATAGATTTAATACTTTCTTAGATTTACGCGAATGTTTAACATTTTTAAATAAAATATCTTTTCGGATTATTTCGCGGATTTATTTTGATTTTTGGTTCCCCTCATCCATGGTCAGGGTCAGTCTCTCCCGTGACCATGGATGCTGTAAGGCATTCAAAACGTTGGGAACCAAAAATCAAAATAAATCCGCGAAATAATCCAAAAAGATAGTTTTACTTAAAAAAAAATAGATTTCTTAGAAATTTACCTGGAGGTATACCTATGTATGTATTTAAAATTATATATGTGTAGTGTATCCACTATCTGGTATCCATAACACAAGCCTCGTAGCTTACCATGGAACTAGATGGTGCTGTGTGTTAATGTCACATATTATTATTATTATATTTTATTAGCTATTGCTTTGATAATGGGAATTTTTATTATGGTACTCTACGTTCTCTAGGCATGACCTCAGTTTTATATGAGAGCACAAAATGGAGAGCTCGAACTATATTTGAATATACCCGACCGATTATAATGAAGCTGAGTTCAATTTTTCATTCCGATTATAAGCTTGTATATTATAAAAAAAACATACATGTATCCCAATATCATCTTTAAGTGTTTATCACACGATTAAACAAAAAGACAAAAGTTCTAAAAATAATTTGTTTAGTATCTTTTTCACCTTAAATACAATTTCTCGTCAAATCTAAAACTTTACCCCGTTATAATTACATTAAGCTCGATATAATTTTTTTCTTCTTATTTCGCTTTATGAGAACAATTATTATATGTTGCTAAAAATGGTATACATATTTTATTATAAAATCCCGTTACGACCCATAAATACTCAGCAATGTGTTTCAAAGCCACATTTCCCTTACTTAAAACCAGGTCCCGTAATAATTAATGCAAAGTTAATCCTTGAATGTGGGCGGTCACTCAGTCGGTTACATACACATACACACCCTTCAGCGTTGGGAAAACGTACATGATTTATTCGCGGTTTTTATTTATGAAAACTTTGTACTCACCTGTCAACCCGAAACTCCAGGGTTCAATAAAAGTCAAGCCTCCCTGACAAGTGAAGCCATCAACCGCAGGGCGGGAGCATAAATAATTTAACCGGGCAATCCGCCGCTTGTTTGCATGCGGATTATCATATTAAACGGATATCAGGGCCGACGACCGTCTGTCCGATACGAATGCAAACAATATCATCCAACATTTATAAGGGCAAACGTTGTTCACAATCGCTGAAAGGTAGCCGCCTAGCCAGTCGATTTTTGATAGACCTGACTCCCGCCGACCACTTGTAACACTACACAACTTTTAAAAAGCTGCCGTAGTTTAGTGAATAATATCTTAGTAAGGTATCCGTAGTGATTAATTACAATATAATAATATCGTGTGGGTTTTTTTATAAATTGATGTAAGGAAATAAAAAGTACACAATCATAAACTATCTCTGTCTCTGTCTCTAGGTTTGCTGCGTTGAAGTAGGATAAACCAACGTGTTTCATTAACAAACTTTTGTATGCAAAAATACGTGGTCCACCATTCCTACGACGAATTAAGGATAGTATTTGCATATAAATACATAAAAATAGGGAAACGTTCCAATAATACAAGTAAATAAGTTATTACATCAAAAACTTGCACTATATAAACATTGCAAGCTTGTATTGATGGAATTTTGCGTTTACGATTACAACTGTAATACTTTCTTAGATTTACGCGAATATTTGACTTTTTAAATAAAACTATCTTTTCGGATTATTTCGCGGATTTGTTTTGATTTTTGGTTCCCGACGTTTCGAATGCTTTACAGCATCCATGGTCACGGGAGAGATTACAACTGTAGTTAAACACATTATTTGAAAGCATTGTCTCTTGTAAATTGTATTCCGTTTCCATTTCCTAAGTAGACAGCAATGCGCAAAAGTCATTATGGATTGCCACAAGTAATTTTGGGTTTCCC